TGTTGTTGTGATTCACGCTCTGATTTCCCCGCCTTTCTGACTCGAGCTTAACCCGTTGGGTGCACCTCGTCGCCTAAGTCTCTCGAGTTTTCAAGCTTGGGTTTCTTGGACTAAAGTTCGATACATGGGTCAGAGAGATAACACAGTGGTGTCGAGCCTTGCACGAGTCACGATTATGCCCGTTTCAAAAAAAAAATGAAAAAAAGAAAAAAAAAGTTGTGATGAAAATCACCAAAAAAATTGTTGTTGTCATTTTTTGGGGGGTAGGGGAAAGGGTTTCTCAACGACGGAGGTCAGCATATCGTTAGTGGAAGCCGTGGCGTGGCGCAGATTATGTGATCATCCAATTTTAACTAAAATTATACTTAAAGGAGTGTATCTTTAATATATACATATTTAAATGTGAGAGATACGATGTATATGTATGTAATTAGACCGAATTATCTCACGGGAGGTCACTCTAATTACTCAATATGTGGTCAAGGGTAAACATATCAATGTTCACTCTAATCACTCTAATTATTTTTGTACTTACTTGATTTTACTTAATTTTTATTTATTTTAAAATTTAATTTCTAACTTTAATTTTTAATTAAAATTTTATATAATAAGTAAAATCATACATTAACACGTGCAACGAGGTGCTTGCTACTATAGTAAACATATCAATGTGTACGACAACTTTAATTTACCAACCGTGCATTAATGCATTAATAAAGTTGATTTCTCATTATTTTTGCTATAGTATGGTTGGTACACGGTACTCTACAATTCTTTTATATTATATTTGTTATTTTTTTCTTATTATTTTTCCCACCAATGAATTCTTCAATATTATAACTTAATTTTAAAATGACGCCTAGAAAAAAATATTGATTTTTTATTTGTAATTAACATCAAAAAATATATATTATATAAAGAAAGAAAATTAAAAAAATATATATATCATTTAACAAAAATAAAATTAGAAAGAAAACCAAATACATTGAATATGTAACTATATTTGCAAAAAGATAAATATTCTAACAAAAAAGTATATCGAACCCCTACAGAAATGCATGGTCATATTAGATGCAAGCAATTCAAGTAGCGACAAGTAGATTTAGGAACTTAATTCCCTGTGGATCGATATCTGGAATTCACTATTCTACAAAACGCGATACTGTACACTTGCGGTTATTTATACGTAGGTTTTACGCGTATCATATACTGTAGAAATTTTTGCTATTTTTCTTACCGTTTTATGCATCTATGTAATAAAGTTAATACATGGATGATTGTGACCCATTTTGTATAAGAGAATGCCATTTTTTAGAGTTTTCTTTAGAGTGCACAACCAGGGCAATTATTTACTCATTAATAGTTGAATGACCAAGTCCCATTTTGTACGAGGGAATGTGTTTTTCAGAGTATTTATTTTTGCAATTGGGTAATTGGAATTTTTCACCATTCAATTAGGTGTGCTTGACACTTTACACCCTAAAATTACAAAATTAGCCCTTTGTACTCTTGATGGCAAAAAAACTTCTCTGAAAAATATTTTTATTCGAAATTATGTGGGTAGAACGATTTATTTTGGTCGACAAAAACCCTCCACTCCATCATCTGACCTCCATTATCCCCATTTATATTGCTAGAAAAAAATCTTTGATGCAGCTAAAATTCATATCCAAATTTTGAGAACTTAGCATGTGTTTCTATCTTTGATGATATCCTACTTTTTTTGTTTTTCCTACGTTGAATTGGCTTAAACTTAATACTTTTGTTTTTACAACATAATCTCATAAGTAATACACAACCAATAGAATACCTTATAATTTTGATGTAACCTTATGTTAAAGTAAAATCAACGACAATCAACTAATGGTTTTGACAAAATAAGTGTTTTAAAAGTGAAAAAAACAAATGCTCTAGTGCTCAATGGAGAGACATTCAGACCTGATATTTTAAACCAAAATAAGAAGTGCATGGTTAAGATTCTTTACAACAAGAAATACGGGTGTGTTTGCCGTGATGAGAAATAGACCGTTTTATCCTTTGAATTAACGTGAAATCATTTTTATATGAAAATTTTGAAGCATAGATTGTCAGAGGGTGCATCTTGCCAAGCCAAAGTCAATTTGAGGGTGCAAAGCGTTGTTTTTACAATTTTAGGGTGTAAAGTTCCAAATACACCTAATTGAAGGGTGCAAAATGCCAATCACCCTTTAGAATGCAACGGTTGTTGGGTTTATTCAAAAAATAAACAGGGTCCATTTGGATGGAAGGATTTTGATTTGGGTAATAAATTTGGAGCAATGATTTGAAATGACTGCAATTTGGAGTCATTTGAAATCCACATTAATTTCTCAATTTAACTAAAAAGGAGGGGTGATGATTTAAAATCCTTAATCAAATCCCTTCAATCCAACAAGTTCGATGGATTTGTTATAATGAATTTGGAGTTCCTCCTCCAAATCCTTCCATTCAAATGCACCTTTAGTTCAATTGTGAGTTTAATTGTATTAGTTACAAGTTATGAGGCTGTTGAGTCTGCCATTTCAAAAATATAGTCCAATTGTGAGTTTAATTGTATTAAAAGAGAGTGCGAAGTCAAGTTTCAAATGGAGTTCAGATAAAAAAAAATGTATTTGCTTAGTATTCAATATAGTGGGAATTGTAAAATAAAATGTTGTTACGTTATTTTGGATTCCTAAAATATTCATTTGTTTATTTTATTAATATTATTAGTGAAAATTACCCTACAATGCATTCCTTTTAATTAGGTGTAATCCCTAAATGATATGTATTTAGAAGTAGTTTGCTAAAAAAAATTGGCAAAATAAAATGCTCATGTTTTATGGGCAAAAAGGATGGCACCTGTTTATAATCGTCAACCTTTAGAAGCAGAGGGGAACTTGATACAAAGTTACGCCTTTGTCTCTTACAAAACTAACTCGATTTGTGAATATAAAACATAAATGATATATGAATCATAGGTTTTAAAAGAAATTTCCATGCCTTCGTACAAAAAAAGAACAAGAAATAAGAAGAAGATGACAAATCTGTTGATATGGATCGCCAAATAATTGAATTCATATTGTATTTTCCCACCTTACATAATTTTGGTGCGGCTAATGATTGTAAGGGAAGTTGAACAAAAGTTATAATGTACAGTTAAACCTCTATAAATTAAAACACTTGGGACAATCAAAATTCTATTAGTTTAACGAAATATTAACTTTTCAATAAATTAATAATTATTAATTTATACATCAATTAATAACATTTTAATTTATGAAATTATTTTTATTATAGCTTTTTAAAAAATACATTCTTTTTATTTATTTTTACGTCTATATTATTCATTGTACCATTAGTTCAATGTACTATAGAGCCCGTTTATCGAAAGGAAGCTCTCAAAGCAACAATAGTATTGAACAATTTTCTGTTGAGTTATGAGAAAACTATACCAGAAGTTATAACCATGTTAAGAAAAGTGAGGGACCAGATTGGTAATGTGAACTTCAACAAGAAACAAGAACAATTAAATCATATTTATATTAAGCCTTCATAGATCTATAAAATATGTACTGTACTATGTAATTTAAGAATTATTTTTATGCATTATTAATTTGGGGTTTCTTAAAATTTTCGAATGTGTATTATCTTATAAATTTAGCGAATTATTAATTTAGTACGTTGTCCCCAAATCGGGACTGGGAAAAAATATTATTTAAGCGAGGTTATTCATTTATCGAGGTTATACTTTATCTATTAGTTTTTAGTTTTTTACTTTTGAAAAAAATATTAGTTTTTAGTTTACACTCTTAAAAAAGAATGCATATAGAAAGCTCTTTCAAATTGAGATTAATTTTCCTATTAATTACTAAGTATTCAACAATATCCTTTTAAATTCCACTTAAGAGATTCAACCGGCTCAACAACCGCAACATATCCGATCCTGGATGATCAGCCCACCAATGGAATAATAATGAACAATTACAAAGTGAAACTTAATAATTATTAAATAGAATTACTCAATTGCCCTTCAAATTTCACCTTAATAAAGGGGCATTTTAGTACCTACAAAAAAAGGAAGAAACCTCCCATATTATTCCTCCTTTTATAGATAGTATAAAAAATAAATAAATAGATGTAACAGGTTTTATTTTTTGTTATTTTTGTTTTATTTTTTGGTATTTATGCACTTTGTCAGGGCTATTTTTGTAAAAGAGCCTCTTTATGAATAAGTAGCTCTTGATTTTCTTATTTGTAATAGCCCTTTCTTTTCAGAGAAATAATAGAATTTTCTTGAATCAATTTATTTTGGCTTTGCCTTGATTAAAAAAAACAAAACAAAACCCTAACACACAAGTGTTATAAAACAATTGTGCCAAAAACGCATAAACCACCTCAAATGTGCTAAAAATCGCACAAAATCACAATAAATTTGCTGCAATCGCTCAATTTCATCCTAAAAAAGTTCTAACATTCGCACAAAATCAACCCAAAATATGACGAGAATTGCACAAATCATCTCAAAAAAAACATTGTAACTATCGTATATATAGTTTTATATCACGATATCGAGCGATAAATTACCAATATTTGGTCGATCGATGCATATATATATATATATATGCCAAGTAATCGTTTCTACAGAAATTGTATCATATCATGATATTGACTGCATTATATAATAAGTGACATTATTATTATAGTATGGAGAATGTGATATCATTACCTTAATACATATTTATAATTTTGTACCAATGTCGTTAAAATTGTATTAGTATGGTAATTTTCATGTGGTATATCAAAATCATATGACATATTTTTATAAAGAGACAAAGTAAATGTAATTATAAAAAAATGAAAAATTATCAATTTCGATCGATCTGCATGTGATGAAAAAACATTAATGCTTTAACAATGATAGTAAAATAAAAGTAACACCCATACAAAAAAGACTTTAATTTGTTTGTGGGTTTTTAGTGCATTATATCAGAAATAATTCATAATACTCTAGTACTTAAAACTTCTGAAACGGGTCAAACTCGCAGCCGCCGGAGGACCCTTCTCCACAACCATGGTTGCGCAAGATATATTCATGTATTGCCGGCGTCAAATCACCAAAATCTCTCTCTTCTTCCATCGTAGCAGCACACGGTGGTAAGGGGACATAATACCCCACTGTTGATGCCATAGGCGGCTGCTGGTTGTCAATAAAACCAACTCTGACACCAGCGTCGCCCCCTTGCCTGACGAATTGCTCAGAGTTCTGTTCGGCGCGGTGCTTGTTTAGGAAAAGGATGAGCGGCTCCAAATAGTCGTCCAAACCTAGCGATGCCATTGTCGCCAACACGTCCTCCGGCGTGACTGTACGCCGGTAGTCGCAGTGGCACCGCCAATTCGCCTCAGCGGTGACGAAGCTGATGAATTCGGAGACGTATTCCTGGATAGCCTCCTTGGCATCGTCGGCAATTTCGGCGTGGCTAGGGAGGACACGCCGCATGATGCGGGTAATATTGGCTATCGGCATATACTGATCTACGTCTCTTTTGAAGCCTTGCTGGTTCACCTGTCCGCCAATTGTGTTCGGTGCGGCAGCCGGGACGTTGGTGGCATTGGTGGAGGCAGCAGCAGAGGCAACGCCGCCTTCCCGAATGACGATGCCTAAAAGGATATATGTGAAGAAAATATATTTTTATTGGCATCTTGTCTCTTTATCTCCTTTTCACATAATGACAGTTTTTACGATTTTCGCTGATATAAAGTTACCTTAACTTCATATATAGTTCAATATATATATATATATATATATATATATATATATATATATATATATATATATATAAAAGCATGCGATTTATGATGGGTATATGCTAATTGCATAAAAAAATGATATTTTTCAAAAAATAGATAAGTGGAACGAACACTAAAAACTCGAACTTGTTCAAAAAAACACGTATACATTAAATTAAGTAGCTAGTTTTATTGCTAATTGTTGGTAATCACCATCTTCTATTATCTTCATCATGTACATAAATCTTGTTTTTCAATAGCTAAGAAATTATGTAAAAAGCACGAGACGTTCACTCTAATTGCACTAATTTCACACCCCTATATTTTGTTACACTTCAACTCCTGGATTTCATGTTTTCTTTCATTTAATTCAACTCTATATAAGAATATATTGTATTGATAATGTAATTAATATATAAAGTTTTAACGAGGCCCCAATCCTTTCAAAGTAATGGAATAATAAATATTTTTTGCCAGAAAAAGAAAGAAAAATTGAAATCTAATTAGTACATAAACAAAATTCGTTCATATTAACGTGTTTTCGATGGTCGACCAATTTGTTTTTTTAAATTAGCACAAAAATTAAAATTTACTAAGTCGCATAAACTTGTCAAACGTAAAAGAAATCAGATTATAATGATATACGACAACGAAAAAATATCGCTCTTCATCTAATTAATACAAGGAGATCCATGATGCATAAAAAAAGATTTGTGAACTTAAATTGCCCCAAATTCGTTAAATAGAAGATCAATTACCCAAAGACCAAATCCAAGGAACTGAAACATGTTTTTTTCCTTCCGCAACTGAGAGATGTGAAAAATAAGGATATAAAAGACCAAAAAGAAAAACAATCTATGCATAAAAACCAAATGTTAGAAAAAACTGAGTGCAGTTTTTACCAGATGTGCGTGCTCTTGTTGTGTATTTATATTCAATATTTGAGCATCCTCCTTTCTCCATCTTCAATTTTTACTTTGGATTAAATCCCTTTGTTTTTTTTTTACACTTCTCTCTTTTGTTCAGACGGATGTAACACAATATATCTTATGTCTCTTACTCTTGTGTGTGCGATGAGTAAAATGAACAATTACATTCAATATATAGACAAGTGATATGGGACCTTTGAAATGAGTCAACAATGGTCGTAATAAGGTGGTTAAAGGTAGGGACGAAATTGGCAAAAAATATTAATTGTTGTTCTAAAATGGAAAAGTGATGACTTATTTTGATTTCATTTGACGCGTAAAATATTTTGTGGAATTGCTTGCTTCAAAGAGTAAGTGAATTGTTGAAGAGTACCATAAAATTCACTACGAAATATTATTGAGTTTATTCACATAAGAATATTAGTTTTATTTTTACGAATATTACACTTTATTTATATACATTTATATGAAATAACTACAACAGTATTTCAAAATATTTTCATAGATTTAGTCAAAATTCTACTAATCAAATTTTACATACATATGAGTCAATTCTAATTATTTATTTTTACTAATAAAATGGAGTTAATCTTGATTTGGATGTTATCATTTACTTTTCGCTTAAATGCTAATATAAGAATTATTTAAAAAATCATTCAAATCGGGATATACACGACTTAATTACGACAACTATTTAATATGTCTTAAAAGTTAATTGTTGAATTCTAATAATAATAAGATTTTCAAATCTTATAAAGTAACATAATTACATTTATTTGCTTGCAATGTTGAAATAATTAATATTTTATTTCTTGAATTCTAAAAGTAAGATTTTACGCGATAGAATTACTAATTAAAATTGTCGATACAGTCAAATAATTAAAGGTTGATTATTTTGTTATGTTAAAAGATATAAAACTATACATCTTAGTATTCATTAGTATAATAAGACTTTTCTGATCACATTTTATTATTCACTAGTATGCATGTCAATTGCTAGAAACTTATACCTCTTCGTATTTAGTTTTTGATAATCACATCAAAATTTACTACAACAATCTAATTATGAGAGAAAATGGAAACAAAAATTTGGATTTAAGTAATGAAAGGTTTGATGAGTGTCGAAAACACAATGGCAGCCTTTCGATATTGAGAATTTGTTATAATGTAAGTTGCCTACAGTGTTTGTATCCGCTTTCAACTGAAATGGCGTGATGATTTTGATTCGAGTTCGAAGTTCAAAAGATAGAATTGTAGAAAATCATTCTTACAATATATGACGTCCTTTTCTTTTCTTTCTTTTTTTGACTATTTATCACTAATACGCGTAAAATCTACGTATAAATAACCGCAAGTGCACAAAAACGTATTATTGAGAATAGTGATCTCGAATATCAATCCACAAGGACCTATAGATTCAGATGTGAATAATGTAATTATATTATCCTAATATTATCTAACCGTCGTAATTCGTTAGAGTTGTGATTAGCACTAATAATTGAAAACATACAATCATCAACATGCCAATAAAAATAATCGCAAATGTAATAATGACATATCCGATGGGAAGGCTTCGATTTGTGAAAGGTTCTAGGACAAAATCCACCAATATAGTATGAAAGACGATTCACAAACTCTATATCTAATCCTAAATTCATATTCGATAACCTAGACGCTCAAAAATCCTAATCACCGTCTCTAGTGTAGTTAGAGTCTACTCACAGATCTAACATCTCCATTAAGAACCTGCTATTAAGAGAACATTTAGGTCAATTCCTTAAGGGCTACCAGAGAGACAGCACGACTCCATATCACAACTCCAAACTATATTTTCCTAAATTCAAACAAGAAATCTTCTCTCAGTTCAGTGCTATTTAACATCAATCTGACATGTGATCAATCAATCAAAAGTATTTAGTGCACAAAAATATAAACGAAATTGGCAAATATATAACAAATATGAAAATTGAAATCAAAATATACAAGTTTTCATTTCCTAGAAGAAAATTTTTGGTTTATTACAAATATAGTGACATAATAAAGAAGATGAGAAATCATAAACTACTCGCAAAACGAAATCCTAAGAAAAACCTCAGTTGGAACCCCTGTCAAAGCTTCCAGCGAAGAACTATCGAAAACCGAAGAAAAAAGTCGAAGAAAAAGGTTCAAAGGAATAGGCCCTTCTACTTATTGTAATTTGCTAAGTTTCTTGAGGAAACTTAGCTAACTCAATATTTGGCCTAAAAAATTTGTGCCCGGATCGTAATATGGGCTTCTTGGATCGTTCCTTGGTGACTCAGGAAACAGGTAACCGCCTTATCAGATTGCGATCAAGGTTTGTGTGGATCGGAATGTAGATGGGAGCTTGAACTCTCTTTATTTTGCTCCCAGACCGCGATCAGAAAGATTCAATCAATTCTTTATTTTCTTCAAGGTACAACTTTGACAATTTGATTTTATAAATTTTTAAGGACATATAGACTTGTTATAACACTATATAATTTCTTCAAAATATTTATTTATAATTATTATCTATATTATTTTTGTAAGAATTACAACTACGATTTGATTCGATTACCGATTTGAATATTTGATAAATCGATTTTCGATTCGATCTACGATTTAACAACCATGGTCACTCTCACTGTTGTCTTTCTTGGAGTATATTATACTATGGGGAAATATGCAATACCCCCTCAAATGAGAAATATTTTGAACTAAACCCAATTGACTTTATAGACTTTTTTACCTACACCAAAATTTCATTCTTGGTTAGTGAGACCCCGTTGGACTAGTGTGAGAAGACAAAAATACCTTCAACCACTATAACCCTAATTATCTTTCCACCTCTATCACTTTCATTTTATCTCTTCTCCACATCTCCGCCTAAATCCCTTAACTCTCTCCAAAAAATCCGACCTTCCTCCACCGTCCTTGTCTCCGCCACCGCCAATCGTTGCTGCCGTCGCTTCCTACTTCGTCTCCACATAAATCTCTTTCTCTGTTGTCAGTTATCTCTCTCGATTTCTCTCTCTTTACACCGCCATCGTCTCCACATAGATCTGTACAGCACCACCATCGTCGCCGCTTGTTGCCGCCGTCGCCGCCTTCTTCGTCTCCACGCAAGGCTCTTTCTCTCTTTTTCTTTATCTCTCTCGATTTCTCAGTTTTTTTTCCAGATATGTCCACCACCACCACCGTCGCCTTCTCTCTCACTCTAATCTCTTTTGTTCACCGTCGCCACTGCCGTTGTCATCGACTCGCCCTCCCTCTCTTTCGTTATATTTCTATCACTATTTCTATATTTTTCGATTTCTCTTTTCTTTCTCTCCAAATCTGAACATACAGTTTCAGATTTGACCAGCAGCAATAACATGATTATAGTCACATTCGAATATGACTATTGTTGAATATGACTATAGTCATATTCGAATATGTTATATCTTCTCGTTTTAATTTGAGCTGTAATAACAAGATTCAAATTGTGTTTTTTTCTGTGGATGTTGATTGGATTTTTTTTCATAAACAAAAGGCAATCTTCGTTGTTTTATATAATTTGGTAAACATGATTGTACCACACTATATAATCATAATTATTAAGTTGAAAAGTTTAAAAACTACAATATAAAGAATATGACTACAGTTGATATAGTCACATATAGTCATATTAGACTATAGTCATATCCGGCGTAGTAAACCTGTCGAGAGAAAAAATTCAATTTTTCTATTTAAAAATTCAAATTCGTCTATTTAAAAATTCAATTTTTCTTATCAAAAATATTAAAAATATAAAATAAAAATAATGCTAAATTAAGTCAGAGAAAAAAATTCATTGTTTTTTTATTTGGTAGTAGATTTTTAGGAATTAGGTGACGTGTTGTTATGGAAATAGATAAAAAAAATAATAACTGTGACAAATTGTGCTAATTGACATAAGGGTAGTGATGGGAATAAAATTGGGTTATCACAAATAAAGATTTAAGGGGTAGACATATCACCATTTCTTAGCTATACGAGGGGCTTATTGCTAATGATCCCTTATATTATAGAACTCTTGTAATATTGCGATTCTATTATCATTATGTTACCTAGATTAGTATGATTATGTTACTTAGATTATTTATGATTCAATTACTTAAAATAGTCTATTACCTTGTAATATTTCTCTGTATAATATCAATGCAAATCAACCCATAGGTTATGGGGTTTCTATTAGTTATAATTCTAGTAGTCTATGTTCTTTCTCTTTCCTGTACAAGAGAGTTGATAATAGCATAACTATTCAATCTGGTTTAATTTGAGATTCATTTGTTTGGTTCTTTCCCTAGAACCGGGTTTTCTCTTCTTATTTTTTTCTTTTCCTTTAATGAAACAGTGTTTTAGCCATTTTTGCTTCCACACATATTTCGCACTTACTTTGTGACTTCAATTTCATTTTAGGTAGTAAGTTTGAAGTTACTAGCATTTTTAATGTATTATTTTTACCATGTCCTAATCTATCATGTCATAAATTAAGACATTCAACCAAGTAAGAAGAAATAACTTTCTTATTCATATCACGCCGAACAACCATTACATTCATCTTAAAGAGTCATTCATTTATCGAGGTACCATTTTCCTATGAATACACCATTCTTAGTGTAAATGAAATTATCAGCCTCAAACACTAACCTAAGCCGGCCTTGTTCAACAAATAGCCAAACACTAAGTTCTTGCGAAAGCCCGGGACATGCAGCACATCCACAAGCATAAGCTCTTTGCTCGAAGTCATCCTGAGCACCACCTTTCCCAATCCTACAACATTAGAAGTTGCAGAATTTCCCATGTGGAGCTCCCTTGCATTGATTGGTATGTATCTTGAAAACATCACATTCTTGGACCAGATGTGGCGAGTAGCTCCGGTATCCACCCACTACTCTCTAGGGTTGTCAACCACGTTAGCTTCGAAGCTGACAACTTTTAAATCCATGTCATTCTCGTTCTTGTCTTTGATCATGTTAGCTTGGTTTTTCTTTTCTTTCTTGGGTTGGCGACAGTCTCTTGCAAGGTGATTTGGCTTTCCACAGTTGTAGCAACTTCCCTTAAACTCCTTTTCCTTGTTTGAATTTGCTACCGCTTTTCATTTTTTGCTACTTCATTCGGCCAAGTTTGTATTTCCCTCTATCTTGACCTTCCCCATCTTCGCTTCGGATTTGCGGTTTTCTTAATCAATTCGAAGTCGTACGATAAGGTCCTCAGGCCCCCATTTTCTTGTGCTTGTGCTTGAGGTAGTTCTTGAATTCTTTCCAATGAGGCGGTAACTTCTCGATAATAGTTGCTACATGGAAAGATTCGCTCAATTCCATCCCTTCGGCGTGTATGTCATGCAAGATCAATTGAAGTTGCTGGACTTGTTCCACAACCGTTTTGGAGTCCACCATAACCCTAGGAACCATCTGACTATGAATTTATTCAAGCCGGCATCCTCCATTTTGTTCTTCTTTTCGAGAGAGTCCCACAACTCTTTTGTTTTCTTGACGTTGTTGT